AGAGATCTGTTACAGTTAACAAGCAGAGATGCCAAATTATGACCTGGAATTCGATGGAGATATATTAAAAAGAAAAAAAAAAAAAAGGAGGTCATCAGCAGTAGGGCTTTGATGACACATTATTCTGCTCTTTAAATATGCACTCACAGTTCATACATAATAAATACAAATTAAGAAAAATCTACCATAAATTTTAAACATTCTGTGAAGCCGTAATTCAGAAATACCACAGTAACTGAAGCCACTGTATATTTAAAAGTATAAAGCAACAGTGTAACAAAACATTCACTCTTAATCACCTTTCATCGATTTGTGTAGAATGACTCCACCATGGAAGGGAACTTGTCTATCTTGTTCACTGTAGTCTGCTAGGCATCTAAAGCAGTGCATGGCATGTAGGAGGCATTTAAACATCTAATGAAGAAATTCATCCACTACTAGGCAGAACAAGTCAGCCAGTAAAAGGAGACAAACAGCAAACAACAAGCAACTGTGCAAGGGAAAACTCGGTACTATTAGACATACAAACGCACTAATCGAGATGTTTCTCAGGGAAAAAGCGGAAACGGGATATTCAGCACATGCTCACTCTCAGATGCTAGATTCTATTCCCTCACCATCAGCTTCATTTCAATACCAGAAATTCCATCTCTGGAAATAAGCATCCTCATCCTTCTCCAAGTTTCCTAGTGCTATGAAAAAGAATCAAAACGGTGTAAGACCTTGACGCTGAAACTACACGAAAATCTCATCTAGGTTATTAAAACAAGAAAGGTTAGAAGGAAATTCGTCAAAATGAAAATAGCCATTACTGATGATTTTTCTTTTTCCTCTATATTCTCCTCTTTTCCAGATTTTCTAACAAATGTATATTCTCATTAACCTTTTTTTCCCCTGCTCACAAAGGTAACACTGACTCATAGCAGAAAATTCAGAAAGCACAAAGCAGGCAAATTACCTGCAAGTCCATCACTCAGAAGTAACCCGTTAGTACTTTGGTGTGGACCTTTACGTATGCATACATGGGAGTAGGGAGGGAAGAGATACACAATTAAGGGCACATAAAGGAGATGACAGACTGCTGCTGGGGCAAGTGTGCAGGATTCAGGGAAGACTAACCTGAAGTGGAAGGAGCCCTGGTGGTGCGACGGTGAAGCGCTCGACTGCTAACTGAAGGGTTGGTGGTTCGAACCCACCCAGTGGCTCTGTCTAGGAAACCCGCTGGGGCAGTTCTACCCTGTCATACGGGGTCGCTATGAGTGGGAAACAACTTGAAGGCACCCAACAGTAACTTGAAGAGGAGACAAGTGAGCCGAGCTCCCTGAAAGATGAGTGCAAACTAGCCAGAGCAAGAAGCAGGGATGGGGCAGCAATCTAGGCAGAGGGCAGCAGAGCATGAGCAGGACACAGAACATGACCCATCAGGGACCGTGAGCACGTGAGGGGAGAGACATGGGTTTGATGGGAAGGAAGAGATTGGTTGAGCAAAGCTTTACAGGCCAGAGGTGAGAGTTAGGACCAGTCCTCGGGGAAAAAAATGACGAGAGGCCAAGGGGGAGCAAGGCGGTTCCTTAAAGGGATGAGTCCCACGGCTTAGGTGGGGGAAAGGATTAGGCCCCACAAGTGTGGATTTAAACAGATCAGCATTCTTCTCCAGAATACCAGCAGCTCCCAAAAGGTGGGGAGGGAAGCCATAGGGGAATCTCTGGAGGATAGGGAAGTAAAAAGCTAATGAACCAGTATTTTAAATTTATTATTTTATGGAACCAGATTGCCATATCTTTCTCCTGCGGAGCAACTGGTGGGTTCCAACCGCCAACCTTTCAGTTAGCAGCCAAGCGCTTAACCATTGTGCCACCAGGGCTCCTTATATTTACATTATAGACTCCACAAAACCTGCCAAATTGGTAGGGATAAAGAAGATACAGTGACTTTAACTATAGCACACCTCCCCGTAATTCATATCAGAAGTAGATGTGGGGGAGAGCATTAAATATTAATATTTACCAAAAGGGAACATAAATTTTAAAAGATTGAGACCTGCCTTAGACACTTAGCGTGATAACAGCACAGAATGTACCTGTTTTATCACTATATTCCCAAATAAATGAATATAAAACGAACAAATAAGTATCAACGGCATTAACATAAACTGCATGAAAGCTGGTTGAAGTGCTCGGCTGCTAACCAAAAACACTGGTGGTTCAAACTCACCAGACACTCTACAGAAGAAAGATGTGGCAGTCTGCTTCCATAAAGATCTACAGCCTTAGAAGCCCTGTAGGGCAGTTCTCTGCCCTACAGGGTCGCTATGAGTCTAACTGACTCCATGGCAGCGAGTATGAAAGCTAACAGAAAGGGATGATCTTAATGGCATCCAGAAAAAAACATAGCACAGTCCACAGGACAAAGCCTCACACAGAGAATTCTGGTCTCTGGAGTAGTGAGCTTGGTAATGGAGCAGAGAAGGGTTGGCAGGCCTCTCTAAGGCCTGGAGAAACTATCCCACAAACTAACCATCTCTCCTAGCTCGCTCATTCATTCATTCAAGAAATTCCACTCCTAGGTATATACTCAAGAGAAAAGAAAGCATATGTCCACACAAAAACGTGTAAATGAACGTGCATAGCAGCATTATTCATAATAAAAAGTGGAAACAACCCAAATGTCAACTGATGAACGGATAAATAAAATGTGATAAATCTGCACAATGGAATAGTATTCAGCATAAAAAAGGAATGAAGTACTGATGGCATGCTACAACATGAATGAATCTTGAAAACATACTAAATGAAAGACGCCAGACATAAAAGGTCACATACTATATGACCCTATTTATACGAAAAGCCCACAATACGCGTATCTATTTAAACAGAAGACGTACAACCAGAATGTTCCTTAGAAGGGAGGATGGCGAGACTCTGACTCATTTGCATTGGATACCTCATCAGGAAAGACCAATTCCTAGAAAAGGACATCATGCTTGGTAAAGTAGAGAGGGTCAGCAAAAGTGAGAGAAACCCTCAATGAGACGGACGGACACAAGAGACTCAAACTGAAGATAGCACAGGGCCAGGCAACGTTTCCTTGTTATACATAAGGTCACCGTGACTGAAAGGGTACTTGGGAACTAAGAACAACATTGAGACACCAAGTAGACTCGTAGTTCCCTGGGGCTGGAGGAAAACAAGGAAAGACTGCCAATGGGCTCTGGGTTTCCTTCTGGAGTGATAAAACTGATCATGGTGATGGTTGCACAATTCTGTGCATCTGGACTGTACACTTTAAATAGATGTATTTGCATGGTATGTAAACTATATCTCAATAAAGGGGTTATTAAAAAGAGAGGATGTTTTGAGCACCTCGGGGTCCTATGGCAAGTTACTGGAAATACAGTAAGACAAAGAAAGAAAGACACAGAACCTGCCCTCAAGACGCTAATGTTTTGCTAGGGAAGAAAAGCCAGTCAACAGACGATTACAAAACAAGGAGAAAAGCAAACAGGATTCACAAACGATACCTGGCGTAGCCCTGGGTGGTTCAGAGTTGTCCAGAAGAGAACTCAATTTACCATATTTTCATCCATAAACTAACATTCAAACCCAAGGAACTCTATTTAAAAATTAAGTTCCTATTCAGCTAATTTTTTTCATTCTTATAGAACGGTTAGTGGGGTTTTTTTTAAGTATTTGTACACGTACAAGGTTTAAAGTATATGTTTTTAACTTTAGAAAACCAATCCATTAAAGTCTGTTAATAAAGTGAAACAAGGCTCCCATTTAAATATTATTGTTTCCAAATCCGTGGGGTTGGTGTAAAGATCGTGGGCAAACTTTTCGTAACACCTTAAACTGGGAGGAGAACTTGAGCAACCGTTGTAACGGAGAATCGAGGGCTACATAGTAAAAATGAACCTTCAAGAACTACAGTCTCTGATTTTCAGCCACAACACTTGGAAATTAGAATACTGGTAACCGCTGCCATAGGCAGTGAAGCCGAATTCCTCCGGGTTCAAATAAAAAAAATACCGTAAACTCAAGTGGATGAAAGAGGACAAAGTTTGGGCGAACCTTGGTGGACCGCGCCTGCCAGAAAATTTCCCTGGAATCAAGACTGGACCGACTGCAACTTTTAACACATACTTTCGAAGCAGTGCTGGATAAATCGCCTCGCCGGAGTAGTTTACCAAGTGCTCAAAAAGTTCGCTCCCTCTCCTTTGGGAGGGGGAACGTGACTAAATTCCCCCGAGCATCGCCCACAACCAAAGCCAACCCGGTGCAGACGCGCACGGCACACAGAGGAACTGGTACCAAGTCCACGCAGAAAGCATTCAAACCGAGTCCTGCAGGTTTCATTGGCTGGGCCACGAAGTAAACCCCCAGCTCCAGTCCGGAGCCCCAGCCCGCCAGGCTCCCTCCTCCACATCCCCCGCCCACGCACCCAAACCCCACTCGCATTTATTAAGCACCCAGTGTCTACGCCGCATCGGGGCTCCAAGCATTGCAGGAAGAAATGGCCCCGTGCCGGAGGCGAGAAAAACCGCAAGGATGAAGTCGGGAAGGGGACGGCCGCCTGCGGTGGGGTGCTCGAGAGAGGCACCCCGGCCTCACCTCGCGGGTCGTGAGTCCCTGGCGGGGAGGCCCCGAGTGCGCACCAGGCCCGGTCTCTCCGGAGTGCGCCGCAGTCCGGGTGGGGAGGACAAGGGAAGGAATCGGCATGCCCCGGCCACCCGCACGCGCCTCCACCCCGAGGAGCGCGACCCCGGCCCCCGCCCCCGAGAGTGACCGGCGCGGGGACCGAACCCGTGGAGGGCCAGGGCGGCTGTCACCGACTACGCCTCCCGTGCCGCCGCCGCACTCCCGCCGCAGCATTACATCGCGGCAGCACAAGCTGAGCGCCCCGGGCGCCGCGCCCCTGTGACCCGCGCCGAGGGGGCTGCGCTGGGACCACCGCCGGCCCCTCCCCCACCACCACCCCACACCGCCGGGGAAAGCAGTTACCTGGCGCGCGGACAGGGACGCAGGCGTGACCTAGCGGAGGACGACGAGAAGGAAGACGGTGGCCTCTGTCCCCAGGAGATTTGGGAAATTTGGGAGACTTGTTCCGCACTGGGTGACAGCTGTTCGCTGCGCAAGCGCAGAGGGCCCCGGGACCGCTCGCTCTGCCGCTCCGCACCCGCCCGACCAGGGGGTGGGCGCGCGCACGGCGCAGGCCGGCTCCCCCGTCGTGGGGGCGCGCGCGCCGTCACGTGACCGCGGGGCGCGGCGCTTAGCGAGTCACGTGACTTCCAGCAGCTTAAAGGTGCACGGCACCTTCTCACTGTCGGCTCAGTCTTCCGCGTTGTGCTTGGCGCAGGCTCGCTGGAGCGCATCTCCTCGCTGTCTGGAGATGAGCATGCCCCTTCTTCTCAGAGGGAAACACACTTGAGCGAAAGGACGGAAGGAACAGGTGCACAAAACCCCACCAGGAATTGGTCACTGGGTTCCCATGGGGCCGGACCTGACGGAGTCCACGCGCCACACGTCGTCCTGGGCCCCGATGCGGGCCTATGGCGGCCTCCGGCGCGCGAACGTCACCGTGGCGTTGCCATGGGTGGGGCTTTGGGATGCCCGGCGGAGCCTGACGAGAAGGTGGCTCTTTGCTGTCCCGCGCCCTGTGCCGGTTCTCTCTTTGCCCTGTGGCACCCCAGTCTTCTACCCACCGCAATGGGAGATCCCGAGTGGGCCGAGGGTGTCCACGTGCCAGCTCTTTAACCAGTAACTGTGGAGCAAAAGTCTGTATTGTAGGCCTCGGGGAACTCAACTGCCTCGTGTTCAGTGCACCTACGCGGAACACGTCCGGTCGTGCTCAGGTGTTCGCTTGAAGATAGGAAGACCCGAGGGTGGCCCCAATGGGAATCCTGGATTCGGAGTCTCTCAGGAGCTACCGATGACAAGAGTTTGGCCTGATTTGGAGTAACTGGAAGTGCAGGTGCCTCCGGGTCCCTGAGAACGTAACATAAGTTAGTTTGCTACAACTTGTTTCTGCCCTGTAACTCAGCTTTCCAACGTGTCAGAAGGAACCACACAGTCCTTAAGACTTTGTACTGCACCAAATGTTTAACGGAGCTAAACAATTTTTTTAACTTCCTGCAGGGTTCCCAGCTGGGTCCCTTGTAGCGTTTCCTCTAACGTCTTCTTCAGCTAAGAAAGATTAGGTGGATATTTACGTTAGTGAGCAAACTTGGGCTAATATGCTGAGTTTTCTTTTAAATAACCGGTTTCAGATTGTTTTAATACCTAAACACATCCATTTACCATGCCTTTGAAATCTTGCCTCTGTTGGAGAACACTGGGAGGACAGATAGAATATGGTTAATTAAGCTAAAACAAATGGGGTTATTGGACCACCACATTTTTTTTTGGTAAGTTAGAAACAAAGGTTAGGCTCCCAAACTTGCCTAACGTGGTACACTCAATTGAAAATTTTCCGAATATATAGGATCCCAACCCTCCTTACAAGGCAATTAGATACGCTAAGACAAAAATATTAACATTTATTTAGGATTTATTGTGAACTAGACACTGTTTTAAGAGTTTCACATATATTAACTAATTTAATCTTTATATTAATTCAATTAATAGGTACTATTATGATCTCCAAGGAGCCCCGGTGGCGCTGTGGTTAAGAGCTCGGCTGCTAACCAAAAGGTTGGCGGTTGAACCCACCAGGTTCTCCGGGGGAGAAAGCTGTGGCAGTGTGCTTCCCTAAAGATTTACAGCCTTGAGAATCCTATGGGGCAGTTCTACTCTGCCCCAGAAAGTCGCTAAAAGTTAGAATCATCCTGACAGCAGTGAGTTTGGATTTTTGGTTTAGTATTATCTCTTTGTTTAAGATGTGAAATCTTAAACAGAGATATTAAGAAACAGGCCCATAGTCAATGAGCTACTAAAAGCCAGGGTCCTTAGGAAGCCATATTATATATTAGATTGGGAACCTTGTACACCAGAATGAAGTCCGGAAACCTGAATTCCAGTCCCTTCACAATTTACATATGCATGTTGTTGCAAAATAACATTTGTTGGGCACAGTAAATCGAAGTGTCAACCTTTCAACCTGACAAGGGTGAATATTTCAGCCCTGCTGACTTCCTTGAGCAATCTGAACATCAAAGAAGATAAAGTAAAATATTAAAACACTTCACAAGCAATAAAGCACGATGTAAATCAATTAAGCGCTTAATCCAGGCTTTACAATGCTTACCCAGACTTCACAGTCTTGGATATTGAAGTGAGTCTACTAGAAAATCAACTAGATCACTAATGGCACAAAGGATCCCTAATGTACCAAAATACCTCCATGTTGTAAATCACAATATAAATTAACGACGTTTTATCCATATAGTAGATTAATTTATTTAGATCCAATTAAAAAAATCCAATTGCAGTAAGGTGAAGACTCTAAATGAGATACTTAGATTCCCCATAAAGCCTATAATGTAATGGGAACTACTGTTCAGACTATCTCAGAGATAATATTTGTAAATTTCAAATGCGTATAATGTAGCAGATTTCTAACACTAGTAATAATATAATCCAATCTGAATAAATTTAATGGGACTTTTACAAATATAAAGAATTATAGTAATAACCATTAATGTTTTTATCCTTGTCACATATGTATGTTATTTATACAGGTATAAAACAGAACAATAACTAGATGTTTAGCTGCTGTTTTAAAGGGTCACAAGTGAATATTACTGTGAATACATAATAAAATTAAAAACCTTGATACCTATTTCTTCTTTGTATTCTGTGTCCCTTTCCTCAGGTTAATTTATCTCCCACCTGATTATAATAATGATCTCCTAATGACCTCCATGCATTCTCCACCCATCACCTCCAACTCATCTTCTGTCCCGCAGCCAAAATTATCCTCCTCAGGTGCACAGTGGATCATGATGCCACTGAACTGACACCCTTCATTAATTCCCCATCATTACCAAAGCTTTTCAGACTTGTCTGCCAAACAACTCGCAATGGCCAAAGACACTATGATGGCCAAGGGTGTAGGGATAGACCCTGAAGTGGCCAAGCCTCCCGTGTCATCTAAAAATCCTTCGTAACTGAAGGCTACAGTGCGCCTTCACCCTCAGGCACGGAATGAAAGATCCCATTGAGGGAGACATTAGGTATGTTATTGCTATTTTTATAGTCTCTGAATACAACAGGAAATGAAGGACTTGGAACCTTGGAAACGAAATTGAGGTATGAGTTGGAAAGAGAGCACAAAATGTTTTCTAAGAGTTACTTTTAACAACGCCTGGTTTTCAGAGCATTATCACCTTGTTTACTTGTTCCTCGATTCCAACTTCTGTCTCAGAAAGAGACTGACTGCTCCTGATCTTTACTGCTCAGATTCTCCCAGTGAGGTGTTCTATCTAATCAGAGTCCAATTTTTCGCTTGAAGCTTTATAATACATTTTCTAAGGGCTTTGGATTGACTATAATGAACTAGTATCCTGTTCCATCTTAAGTGTTCTTCTATTTATACTTAATCGATATCACTCAGCTAAAGTAAATGATTTCTCTCTTCTTGAACTAATGCTAATATAGCTTGGGACCTTGAAATATCCATTCTCTCTTTTGAATTGCAGAATATGACCACAGATTCCTCCAATGATCCTTTGCAATATGACTTTGCTGTTCCTCCCATCAGTATACCAAAAACCAAACCTGTTGCCACTGTGTCAATGTCGACTCATAGCAACCCCATGTGTTACAGAACAGAAGTGCTCCATGGGGTTTTCTTAGCTGTAATCTTTATGGAAGCAGATCTCCAGGACTTTCTTCCATGGTACCACCGTTTGTACCACCCAGGGACTTGATAGCAATGTCTTTGGTTCGGGTTTTGGATGCAATTTAAGTTTTTCCTGAGCTTGGTGTTTTGCTGATTCCAACTTCTTCCTTAGCGTGACAGCCCATGCTCAGCTTTCTCTTTGAGTAGCATAGCTTCATTAAAAGGTATCTGTATCTCTAAAAAGTTTATTGACAAATAATTCTATTAAAAAATGGGCAAAGGATATAAACAGACACTTCACCAAAGAAGACATTCAGGCGGCTAACAGACTCGTGAGGAAATGCTCAAGATCACTAGCCACTGTTGTTATTGTTAGGTGCCGTTCAGTCAGTTCCAACTCATAGCAACCCTGTAGGACAAAGTAGAATTGCCCCATAGGGTTTCCAAGGAGTGGCTGGTGGATTTGAACTGCTGACCTTTTGGTTAGCAGCCAAGCTCTTAACCACTACACCACCGGGGCTCCCACTAGCCATTAGAGAGATGCAAATCAAAACTACAAGGAGATACTATCTCACCACAACATTACTGGCACTTATCCAAAAAAAAAAAAATGCTGAAGAAGCTACAGGGAGATTGGAACCCTTATGAACTGCTGGTGGGAATGCAAACCTAGAAATATACCATTCAATCCACAAAGCTAGAGGCCCTGATACATGGCATAACAGGATACAAACCATAACTAACAACACACAAACTCCAGAAGATAAGCTAGATAACAGGGATCTTCTAAAAATTTAACACTTATGCTCATCAAAAGACTTCGCCAAGAGACTAAAAAGAGATCCTACAGACTGGGAAAAAAATTTTGGGTATGACAAATTCGACAAAGGTCTTATCTGTAAACTCTACAGGAAAATCCAGTACCTCTACAACAAAAAGATAAATAATCCAATTAAAAAATGAGCCAAGGAAATGAACAGACACTTCACCAAAGAAGGCATTCAAGCGGCTGACAGATACATGAGGAAAATGCTCGCAATCACTGGCCATTAGAGAAATGCAAATCAAAGCCGCAATGAGATACCATCTCACCCCAGCATTACTGGCACAAATCAGAAGAACAGAAAACAACAAATGTTGGAGAGGCTGCGGGGAGATTGGAATCTTATGCACTGCTGGTGGGAATGCAAAATGGTACAATCATCTTGGAAAACAATATGGTGCTTCCTTAGAAAGCTAGAAATAGAAATGTTACCGCACCCTAGAAGGTGGGCCCTTTCCGGCGTGCTCAGACTTGCCAATTATCTGGACACCAGTCTTTGAGAAAGAGAAAGTAACTTTATTGCAACGCGCAAAGCAA